GACATGGTCCTGACGTAAATCTCATATACTGAGGCTGTGTAAATCAAGGAAACGAGGATAAAGGTACTAGATTGAGGATCAAGTGTCCAGCCATTTCAAATAAATCCCTACAAGGAGACACCATTAGTTTGTAATGACGAGCAAATTTTCTTTTTGTTGTCTTTCTATCCAATTTTTAAAACAAAGGAACGGGTAAAAACTATTAGGAAAGCCACGTAATAAAAAAATATGATACCTTTTTTGCAAGTATCGAGTTTTCGTAGTTATTATACGACATTTGAGTGTGATTTATCTGTGACCTGTACGACAGTGCTTGAATGGAGATGAATTATATTAAAAGAACATTACAGTGAAAATTGTTTTATAAGGAGAAAATATCTTGTTGAAACGGGCTTGATAATGTAAGGAACATGGGCCGTATATCTTATTGTAATAGATCTTATTTACAAGATGGAAGGCATTTAGGAAAAATTTTGAAAAAATGTAAGAATTTTGAAAAAATCTTGTTTAATTTAGCTGATACTTATTTCATTATGCTCAGCTCATTTGGTTACCTTAAAGCAGTTGGTAGATAGGCAAAAGATGTTCTACACTGACCAAGAGAGATGTTAGAGAAAGTGTCGGATTTACATCATAAATGTACATACCATATTTATCCCTTATAAGCTTATTTCTGGTGATGATCCCACCCATAGCAATTGCTGTTCAGTAGAGTTACAAAATTAATGCTTTTGTCCTGTAAAAAGCCCACTCCTTCTTCTCTTTACTTTGAATCTTTGATTCAGAGTTTGTATATAGCTGTACTATTGTAGTATTTAGATGTTGATCTCTAAAAGTTTACTTTTTTATGCCCTTTTTCATCTCATGAGGGATAGGGGGGGGATGTTAAATTCAGAATTTCATCCATTCCATCACATCACACTTTGGAACGTCACATCTTCATCTGGGTTCATATTTACACCATGATATCGTAACATCAGGTTCTATACTTTATCATAGTAACAGGGTCAAAGGTCATATTTGACACCTTATGCAAATTCATCACACAATGATACTTATATGCATGAAAAGCAGGGCATTCTTTTCGTCCAGACACTTTCAAGTTTTTCTCAAAATTTAAAAACATTAAAATTATATTTTTGTGTCAAGGATCATACATTTATGTAAAGACTTTATTTGATTTTGTTACCACAATTAACGTTGTCATCCAAACGGTATACATGTTTACTTTCTAGAAATGTGTACAACATTCACAAACTTGTCTTTGCCGTAAAATCACTACATGCCACTGGTTCGAAGCTGTGATCCAATGTTTTGTGCATTTCACTGTTTCCACGATGGTAACGGAGCTATCTCATTTTGACATTATAACGATCATAAACCATCACTTTAGAAATTTCTCACTTATTTTTGGCAAATATGGATTACTTTCTTCAAGCCCCAGTGTCCTAAAAACAAAATCGATAGCTTTATCTAGACAGAGGATGTCTTAAATCTGTAGTTGTGACATAGAAAATTTAAATTTTATTGATTTTCTTGGAAATGCGGTAAAGTCAGCCATGCTTGTATAATAAATACCTGTATAAGTTTCAATGTGTACACTAGGTATACATTATGCTTAAATTGTCTAGCCAAATTGATTTTTGAAGGAAAGAGGGAGAGAGAGAAAAAAAAAACAATTTGGAATTGATTTGTCATCCAATGTATGTTGTATTGAAATTTTGAATTGTTGCAAAATGTCGCCATTGTTTTGACAAACAGTCCGGTTTGTGTTACCGGCTGTTCATTAAAGTTTATTGAAGGAAATATGAACAGTTTTTGTTTGAAATTTATCTTAAAATCACCAATTACGTTACACATACAGGTAACTATATTGGCTACATGCCCTAATTATCACAGGTGTTTGAAATTTCAGATTTTTATTATGAAATGGATAGGGGTGTAATGCCACATTCTCTAAACACTAAGAAATTATTCTCTTTTTTTTTGTATCGTTATTGATATGTCGATTTTAGACGGAGAAGATTTCATATTCTGTATTATTCATAAAAGTACATCGACAGAAGCTAATGTGCTGTGTCATTATGTCTTTGTTGAATCTGAGCATGTGTTACCTGTGACTGGCCTTGAGTTTTAATCTCTATATTTACAGTTGTGTCTTCTCTGACAAGACAACATTAATAAACAGATGTTCTCAGTGTTACTGTGTTACCTGTGGTTTCTCAGGGTTACCTTGGCCTATTTGAATTACCTGTGGCTTCTCAAGGTTACATATGCCTTCGACTCGTTACCTAAGGCTTCTCAAGGTTACCTGTGGCTTCTTAAGGTTACCTATTGATTTCTAGGATTACTTTTGGCTTCTGATGGTTACCTCAGATATCTAATGACAAAAATGGGTTCCTTGTGAGTGTCAGTAAGTTACAAATATTTCCGGAATTATGTCACATATTGGTGTTTTTAAGAGTCACTTTTAATGCTAAATTTCTCAGGGTTATTTAGCCATTAAATACGAAAACATTAAGGTGTTTCTGAAAGGTACATATATCTGTGGTGCTGACTTACAGTTTTTTCTCTGGTGCCGTCACCTTTGATAGAAAGGGGAGATAACTATAAACCTTATATGCAGGTATAATATTAGAGGTATGTGTAGCACACACCCTTAAGTAAGAGCTTTTGAAAGAAAAGCTTCAAAGAAAATGCTTGTAACATTCCTTCAGGTGTAACTACCTGTAGATGTGCCCATTGATTAGACAGGTAGACTACAGGTGTGTCGAGGTGTACTTTTAACAGGCGAAGTGCTACCTACTCCATTATTCAGTACAGAGAAAACTTGGTTCCCACTTTCCTTAGAAAATCCTTATGGTTACAGCTTTATTGTCTTTCAGAACATTAAACTCTGGTTATATATTCAATGGTTCTGATGCCAAAAAAATGATTTCATTGCTAATTTATAAAGATAAAATGTAATACAAATTAAGTGTAATAAAATTACAGTTTGTTGCATGTAGGTTAATTTCTTTTTTATATTTATTTATGTTTTATTGCCTTAATGAAAAGTTATATACTGTAGTCAAATTTATCTTGTTCTTCATGATTAATGTTAAAAATCACTGCAGGAAAATAATTTTTTAAATACTTTTCCAAATTAAATGATTGAAGTGTATCTCATATTTACACATTCGCAATGATTGCTATAATGATAACATACAGAAACTTAAATTCATGTAATCCTATTTTAGTACAATGTCCTTAGTGTGAAAAGCACCAAAATTGAATTTTTTCTTCTAAAACCAATTTTCAGGATGTAATACTTACCATAACTTGATTATGCATATCTTCCACTTAAACTAAAGTTATGGTAATTATTTCTGAAATGAAATAAGATTCCTTTTATTTAACTGACAGAAGATATGTATGGTTATCTACACAGTGGATTTGGGGCTAAAATGAATGTTTGTACTGTAGTACATTTGTAATAATTGAGAGACAAACAAGTGTACTTATAAAAGCTGCCCAAGGTGAAATAAACATATCCTGGTCTACTACAAAGCCATTCGGTATATAAATATTTTATCTCTTAATTATTGGTTTATCTCAGCCCTGTACTCTCACCGTATCAGGAGATGTGTTTGTATGTATTTAGATTGAAGAAATAATTCTGATATGTTTTTAAGTGTGCTGTCAGTTGAACAGGTACGGAAAATATCCAAGTTTGTCTGAAATTCAGTATTTTGTTCACGTTTTCAGGAATCGGAATGTTAGTGTATCTTCTAGTATTGATATACTGTCTCCTGGTTGTATAGATTTCTCGACATATAGTTTCTAACAAAACTAGCTTATAGGAATGATATATACATCATTAATGACATAGATAATTCTTTACTATGACCTGCTGAAGATAAAATATCCTTTCTGCTACACTACAATCATTCTTTCTATCCTATCTATCATCATTTCTCCCTTTTTCATTCTGTCTTCCTTGACCTCTTTTCATTGTGACAAAAACATAATATTCATTATCCATGTTGAGCCGTATTCTTCCTTCCTGATCTATCATTTTCATTTTTATAATCCTGTTTTCTTTCTTTCCTTCTATCTCTGATCAATCTCCCATCAGTGTTTTGTCACAACCTCTCTATTTCTTAGTCCAAACTTTCTCTCTTCTTTCCTTCTATCTCTGATCAATCTCCCATCAGTGTTTTGTCACAACCTCTCTATTTCTTAGTCCAAACTTTCTCTCTTCTTTCCTTCTATCTCTGATCAATCTTCCATCAGTGTTTTATCACAACCTGTCTTCCTTATAATCTATATTCTTCCTTTCTTCTCTCCCCACCTCTCCCTATCTTCCTTTCCCCTTCCTCCTTTCCATTCTCCTTTCCATTCTCCTTTCCTCCCCCTTTCTCCTTCTCTCCATTTTTATCTCAATCTGTTTCTGTTTTCTCAGTAAACAGAGAAACTGAGATGATTTGAATACTTTAAAGTCAGTTTTTCACATGACACACTGTGAAGGGAAATCTAATCTGTAATAAGCAGAGCTTGCCCAGTGACCCTTGTCTAATTCCAAAAGATGTTAGATAACACATATTTGTTGGGAGATTCTGTCCAACAATCAACCCCACTCTGTTTACCAGATGAAGAACTAGTCATACAATCATGCATCAAATCAAAAACTTCTTTACAAAATTCAAGGACATTTTCACATTTTTTGGGAAAAAAGTTGCAAACCAAAGTTAAACACAACTTCAGTTTGAAAAGAAATATTTCAATTTTCTTTTTACAATAAGTACAATGATCTACACAACCAGTTGTTTTGGAAATGTTATTGTAATAAATGTGTTTTAATCTTATGTATGTCTTTAGTTGGAGTATATCAGAACTGTAACTTTGTAACTGGTAGAATTTACCGATAATTTTTTTTTCAGTGTCAAAAAGTTTCTAATCTTCATTGTTCATCATGTGAACCTTGACCTTTAACCTAAAACGTATGACCTATTTTGCAGCTGTGCTTCCAGACCGGTATAACCTTGACACTCACCATTTGATAGGGAGGTCACATCTCTTCCCCGACCCTGGCTTTTCTGAGGGAGACAGCATCTTACAGGTATCTTAACAATCTTTATCAAAAATGTTTATAAATATAATTAAATCTTAGTTAATTATGAAAAATTAAGATAATGCTTATTTACAAATAAAATTTTTTTAAATTCATCATACATGCAAATAAATAAATGTACTTTTAAGGTTTTGACATGTCAAAAATGAATATTGTTAAACTTTTGAAGCAGAAATTCAAATGATAATAATATTTGCTTATATATTTCAATAATTACTGATAAGGAACTTCACAAAATAATTTTAACTGGCTGCAAATGATAAAAAGATTTTCTGACAAATAACTTCAAATCCTCTAGAAAAACCATAGAATTTTTTTGGCGTTTATGAGTTGATATATTCAGATAGGTTGTATTGAAATGCTTTTCTGAATTAAGAATAATGAACATCGATTTATTACTAAGATGTAGGTTGCCATTTATATGTTTCAGGCCCTATACGGCTTCCTGTTTGTAGTAACGTGCGATGGCGAGGTCTTTTTTGCCTCTAGGACGGTGGAGCAATACCTAGGATTCCATCAGGTGAGGTCATAGCTTAATTAGTCTGGAATAGGTGTAAAATGCTGGCATTGTTTTTAAAGTCTTTTGTTTCCGAACTCATGATGAAGTAGTTAATTTCGATATACTCTCTACTTCCTCTCCGTATAAAAGCCATAAAAACAAAGTATACATACATTTGTCACTTTTCTGGTAATTTTGTGACACAAAATGCAATATACCTTGGACCATTTTTCATTGGCTGCGCAAGTCAGAAATTGATTATTATATGTCACAAATTGGAAAATAACAGTATACATCATGAATTGAAAATGACACAACGAAATGGCTACCTCTGTTTGATTTTGTCAGCCATTTTTTAACCCTGATACCTGTCAAAATGTAAAAGAAATTTTAAGTTAAGTGATTCATGAAACTTGTCTGAATTAAAAAATTTTTTTTTTCTTGCAAAGGCTCACAAAAATTAAAACTGCTTAGACTTGGTTCATAAAAACACCTATAAAACAAATGAATCATATAAATTCCTTTCTGTGTCAAATAAACATGAAATATTTACAATGTTTTCATTGGTCTTAATGAATAAAGTGTATTGAGTTTTTTTAATACATTAAATAGACGTTTTCCTTTTTTTTAAGAGGAGACTGGTGGGTTTCTGGAGTGAAATGGAGGGTTGGCTTTTTTTCCCCTTAATATGCAATTAACTATGTCATTTCATTTTTTTTTAAACTCATTATTGTGAAGGATTTGTTCTTGAGGTCTCACTCCACATTTAAGCAAGATTAGAAACATTTCTCACATCAGCATCGTATTAGTCCTGAATGGAAAATTTTCTCCAGATAATCCATGTGTCCAATATTTCATTGTGATAGGCATATAAATAAGCGTCACAGCCTACGATAACTCGCCTAACTCACCTTTGAACAGACTGTTCGGGGAACATAACTGGGATTGAGACACTAGCTAAATTAGAGTTGCTGTGAGTTAGCTGGACTTGCCATGCCAAATAAGGATACATTTACAACACAGAGAACTGAGTTTGTCATGCCTAACCAAGTGTGTAGGTGTCGTGGAGATATCACCCGGTAATTCTCTTCTCTGACACAAATAAACTTCCGATATGCCGCATTGGGACGCCGATTTGAAAACATGATGCTGGTCATAACTTTTCTTGGCTTCTTTGTAATGTGTAAACAATGCAGAGTTTAAATAGAATCTCCTTGTGATCTTCAGCTGTAAGATTGGCAATATTACCCAGGGCACAACTTAAAGAGAAATTTGGTCCATTTTTCTTCCGTTGTTTGAAAGGCACCAATAACTCTATGTACATCTTTTGCCCATTGCGGTGTAATGAGTTGACTAAATCTGTCTAGGACCTGCTATCGTCATTGTCTTCTGCATATTTATATCTAATTGGGGAATAGAAATGGCTACTCTTTATCAGAATCCATCTTTGTTCAGGATCGAGTTGTAAAATGTTTATCTTTTTTTTTCCCGAGAAGGAATCAGCTATTGATTTTTGAGCTAACACTCCCAATTAATTAGTAGTATTATAATTATTTGTCATACCATTTAAGGAGAGATTATTTGCTAAACCCTCACGTTGGTCTTAAATTTGCCAAAAGCTGAGCTGGATCAGCGGAGAATTGATGGCCCCTTCTGATACAGCGTCAGTAGTGTAATAGCGTCATCGTTGACGATTGTGTTGTATTGTGCCGTCCAATATACCTCACTTAACACTCGTGCTTTCAACAGACCAAGTGGCCTGGAAACAGCGTCAGAAACCATCCTTAGCCATCAAAGCCCACTAAAACGGAATCAATCAGGATACTAAGACAAACCTTCAGATGGAAATTGTATTTAATTAGTGCCGTTTACTTAATAGACTCAAGCGTTGCCTTACTGTGGTTGATCTGACCCTGAAATTTCTTTAATGGTTTAATTCTAAGAAAAAGAGATTACGGCAAAGACATTTGGCAAGACAATTTCACTTGCATTTAGTAGTCCGGTCAAATTGATAACTACAGCTTTTGTCAGATTGCAAAGTAGTGGAACTGATTATTAGTTGGTTAATTGCAGGGTTATATAGTGTTGCTGGTATTACGCAAGGAAGAATGACATCGCCAATCGCCTATATTAATCTATTTTAGCATAAAATAAGTTGTTTGATCCTAAATTGCACACATATCAGTTAGCAATGAGCATACTTATTTTGAAACACTTTAATAAATGGACATTAAATTAAAACAAATCCCAACTTATTCTCTAAGTTGTTAATCAATAAAAAAAAAATAAAGAATGTAGAATCGAGATTTTTCATATCACGTTCTTCAAAGAAATTCTACAAACAAAGACAGTAAAAATCCGGCTATCATGAATAAGTAAAGAATATTTGTAATGGAGAAGAACATACAGTTATAATTCTTTTCTGCACATCATAATTTAAACTTTTGTTTTCGTACCTTAAGTGTTTGGGGTACACCTGTGTTCAGTTGTTCATTTTGGTGGTATACTTACATGTTTTGATGTCCACGCATATTTTAGGGAGGGAGGAGAGGGGAGAGGGCACAGTTAAAAGGTGTTACAAATGTCCATTCATCTATTCCTTTCATATCACATCATGTCATGTTTTGAATCAATGTAATATCTTTTGGGAACCTTTCAAACAGATTTTGATGAAGATTTTCCCCCATATATTAGCAATTCTGACGTCCTATTCTACACCTGACTAGTTATTCTACTTTGCTCAGAGACAATGACTTTCATAACACATTGTTGTTTCTACTAAAACCATAAAACACATTATCCCAAGTCTGCATCAGTTCGGAAAATACAGAAATATTTAATAAAAAATTCTGTTGATATTACTACATTTTTGCCCAATGCACCTCCAACTTTCGGGAAACACTGTCATTCTGACTATAAAGCATTAAACAAAAGCAAATTTCATTACAAGAAACAAAATAAAAACATTTCATTTCAGTTGAATTTTACCTTAGGATTACCTTATCTAATTTTTACCTGGAAAAAGTCACCTGTGAAGGTAAATCCTTTGATGTTTAGCTAATTAATTTAATTATTCCTACTTATATAAGTCCCTTTCTGTTTACAGTCAGACATCATTCACCAAAGTGTTATGGAGCTGATTCACTCCGAGGACAGGGATGAATTTAAGAGACAACTTACATGGAACTCTGCTTTACCTTCAGATAAATCCACACTGCCTCTTCATGAAGCTATGATGCCAGGTAAGTGAATTTTTACTCCCTTGTCTATCAACAGGATTCTGCTGATAAACCGCCCTCCTCTTCCATCAGGATTCTGCTGATAAACCACCCTCCTCTACCATCAGGGTTCTGTGATAAACCACCCTCCTCTACCATCAGGGTTCTGTGATAAACCACCCTCCTCTACCATCAGGATTCTGCTGATAAATCTCCCTCCTCCAATCTCTTTCCTCTACCATCAGGGTTCTGTGATAAACCGCCCTCCTCTACCATCAGGGTCTGTGATAAAGTTACCTCCTCCAATCTCCCTCCTCTACCATCAGGGTTCTGTGATAAAGTTACCTCCTCTACCATCAGGGTTCTGTGATAAACCAGCCTCCTCTACCATCAGGGTTCTGTGATAAATCTCCCTCCTCTACAATCAGGGTTCTGTGATAAATCTCCCTCCTCCAATCTCTTTACTCTACCATCAGGATTCTGTGATAAACCTCCCTCCTCCAATCTCCCTCCTCTACCATCAGGGTTCTGTGTTAAACCGCCCTCCTCTACCATTAGGGTTCTGTGATAAATCTCCCTCCTCTACCATCAGGGTTCTGTGATAAACCTCCCTCCTCCAATCTCCCTCCTCTACCATTTGGGTTCTGTGATAAATCTCCCTTCTCCAATCTCCCTTCTCCATCATCTACCTCTACCCCAATTTTCTTTGCCCTTTCTTTGTAAAGAATATTTTTCATTATGGAAGACAGTTATGTTCTACTTCCGTCTGTAAATCTCTGATTTTACCTGTAGGAATGACAATTCACCTAAACATAACACTGAAATAGAATATTCCGTTTGAATTTATTGGCTGTCAAGGCCATCAACTCATCGAAGCAAAATCTGGATTTCCACATTTCTGTCTCCTACATACCATATCCTTACCTTTGTGTCTGTTAGAAGTGTGACATTTTCTTTAAGTTGTTGTGTGAGTGTCTGGTATAATGCATTTTACTGTGCAGTTGTCATGGCTACTAGTACCACAAGATTCTAATTTAGAGACAGTTTGATGTCGTCACCGACTGAAAAAGGCCTTTATACTCCTTCTCTGAAAAGTGCTTTAGTTAGGAAATCCTGTGTCAAGCTAATGGGACAGTAACCACCATCGTAAAGAGAGAATCGGCACTGGAGTCAGAGAAACATTGTCCTTGTCAACATTGTGCTCGTCTCTGCTGCCGACTGGGGAAGGAAATTGTGTGTCGCAACAGGGTTTTTAGCTGTGGCTTTCTGGCAACTGATTATGGCTTGACAGGTATAACTACTCTGTGCAATCTCCAATGGAGACACAAATTGAAATGACTCTAATGTGGCGGGCAAAATCTTGGTATTCGTATTGATTGTAGTCAAAGACGCAAGTCAAATTTTCTCCAGATCCTTCTTATTGTGTCTTGCGGTCTCTTCAGGTCTTTAATTTCAGAGTTGTGCGCTGTTTCTCCTGGGCAATTACACGATGTTTGTAGACAAGATCCGTATTAATCTTTGTACGAAGAAAAACAATAAAAACACCAAATCGGATAGTCTAGCTGACTCCAAGATTTTGGGTTTGAATTCAATATGTTTGATAATGTTGGCATTCTGATGTCGGAATGGGAGGATTGTCAAGGTAATTGAGGGAGATGGACTAAAATGCGTTTGAGGATGAAGGGAAAAAAAACACTCCAATGAATGGTTTGAGATAGAGTAAAGAAGAAATTGCTCTTTCTGCCATAACAGACTCATTTGACACTTGAAATTTGAAGTTCTGCTATTGATTAAAATTCAAATGATTGGTTCATCCTGTCAGCGGTTTCTGTTATATAAAGCTATCCCGGCTATATATGGTATTTAAGTGCCTTTAAATGTAGCTCTTTCACAAATGTTTCTTTCTTGCATAGATAAAATTTTCGTTTCTCAGAGCATCTCACTCCATTGAATTTACAATACTGATGATCTGAAATGTTAGATTTTTAGATCCAAATGTATTTGGAACAGAATTACATACATTTTTCATATCAGAACTTTCCTACTATGTACAGCTTTTAGGAAATTAAATCACTTTTTAATGTGCCGTGGTTTTGAAATGATAGATCTGGTTGAAAAATTGCTGTATTTCTGGAATCAAACACATGGCCATTCATTGTTACTGTGAATATTCCACACTTTGTTTTAAGTCAATTCTTTGTTTATGTAATAACTGAATTTTTAATTTCAGAAAACTACCACCACATGCATCGGTCATTTACCGTCCGGTTTAGGTGTCTACTAGACAACACTTCGGGTTTCATTGTAAGTTTTCTTGTTCTTTTTTTTTCTGTACATCAGACTTGAACCTGTGCCGACAGGCTTTGTGCCATTTCTCTTTGTACTTCCTTTTATCTTTCTTGTTTTAAAAATTTACCTCAACATTGCTCTTCTTTTTATATTACCATAACTAAGTGGCTGCTAGTAAAATGACTTTTTATTTTATATCATATTATATTATATTACCTATATTACATTGTTATATTATGTGTACTTAGTTTGAGATAGGGTATTCTGTAACTTTAATTTTCATAGTTCTGTGCCAGTTGAATTATTTAACTGTCTATAATTCCTGATTTCTTTAAATTTAGTCAATTTTTTTTGTATCAGAAATCTTATTTCAAAGACATTTACTCGGGATGGAAATCAGAGTAGTTCCTAGAAACAGTTGTGGTTGTTGGTAAATACATTCCGTTTGACTTCAGTTTTAAGGTTTTAATGAAAAAGTTTTAAAGCTAAGATTCTGTTTCTAGTGAGAAGTAATGGTACAATGTATATGTAATCTCTTTTTAGACATTGGAGATAAACGGTTGGATTCGTGTGCTGCATGGGCAAAATGTGCGGACAGACGAGACGCAGTTGGCTCTTTTCGCAACATGCTGCCCATTCGGTCCACTCTCTCTCCTGGACCTGCCCTCAAGAGAACTCACCTTCAAATCAAAACACAAAATGGATTTCTCACCAATGTCTATGGACAACAGGTAAGCTAGAAAACTTTTGGTTTCATTATCAATCTGATGGTAACAAAATTACAGACATTTCCCTAAAACTTTATGAAATATAGGTCACGCTTGCTTTCAATCTGTAAAAATTAAGTGTATTGCTGTATCTGTCCCACAGTGAGCAAGTCAAACCAGTATATAAATGCTGAGCTTGTCAAGAGGTGGGCTTATTACAGAACATGTCACAGTATTTGCTGGTATTTCAAATGTAACTGATTTCTAGCTGTCATCAGGTTATCATCAAAAAATTATGTTGAATTAGTGTTTTTCATTCACAAGACATTTTCATTTCATATTCGACTGATTAAAAGCCATTGTCAACCCTTTAATAACTGCAAGTAGAGTTATACAAACAAATATACTATTTCAGTGCCCCACAATAAGCCCACCCCATGTTTTGAATAAGAACATCTTTGTTGGTCTTTTGGGGTATATTGAAAAACAAATATTTCACTTTCAGATGTTGCAATGACAATAGACTCCATACTAAACATAAACAGGCTGAAGTAAGATTGATGTTAAGTGCTAATATTTGCACAAGAGCTGTACTAGAGGTCTTGCAAACCTTTTTTCTCTCAATATTCATTGGAACAATTTAAAAAATTAAAAAAAAAAAAAAATTCAGGTAATAATTATTTCCGTTGCAAACAAAGCTTGAGACATGAGAACTATGTGTTTGGTAATTCAATTATGGGAAATTCATCAGTTTCCATAAAATATTCTATGTTTTTTTATCTTGTAGCTGTGTTAATATAACCTTTCATTTACATCCCATATCTCTGATATCATTAACTTATACAAAATCCGTGTGGATTTCACGCAGAATGACTTGACAAAAAACCTGCATCTCAAATTTTGTCCAGTTAGGTAGAAAAATATTTTAAGAATTGTAAATTACACCCGGAAAGTAGTTAAATGTATGGTTTATCATTGGGGTCGGATGTTATTGAGGGGGAGTGGAGGTGACCTTTCTTTTGACCCTCTTGACCTATAACCTTTCTTGCCCTTCAATATCTGTTTCTTCACATTTCACTGTATTGGTAGCTTAATGAGATTCATTTTTGTTATGAAATGAAAATGTTCAGATAATTTGTCTATATATATACATATAATTTAATAAAGAAAATTTTCAAAATTGAAATTATGATTTTATTTGAAATAAATGGGAATGAGAACAATTTTATAAAAGAGTACATAATTTAACTCCTTTTCAAAAGAAAAAGAAATAGGAATTTAAAAAAAAAGATTCATAGCAAAATTTACTTTAATCACAATATACATTGAATAATTATCATTATTATCGGAGAATTACAACAATTTCCATGTGTACAATGAAATGTATTATTGGTGGCAGTTATAGAGCCGGCCTACTTCTGTGATTAAATAACCTTATCTTGAATGATAACAAGGAAACGCCTGTGAAAGTGTGATATTTTACTTTCAAATTTTTACAGTACAAATGGTGTTATGTAACACTTGTTGTACGCACCATAAGTCTTTTGTTAAGGCTGATTTAGGAGGTTATAGCGATGTTAGGCCTGATGTTAGACCCGTCCGCCAGATCTTATTCAACCAGCGACATTTTTTTATTCATAATCACCGACCAACACTTGACAAACTGCGGGCTGTATAAACGTATCACAGACTTAATCTTTGCAAACACATGTGTTTCCTAAATACAAAATTGTATCGGAGATCGAAGAACCTATCGCTGATCAGTTTAGTATTTTTCAATTTTTTTTTCCTTTCGCGTGTACATGACATTGGACTTTTAACAGTTGTGGGTCACACCTCACGATTTACTTGTGGTAAAGTCGTGTTTTGTTTGCGTGAAATCAGAGGAAAAAGTGGAAACGGCAAGCATTTAGAGGGGATATCCTGTAATGAAGTTGTCATCACAGCCTGCCACTTGGTAGTTTATGTAGACACCACCTGGGTAGGGAGTTAGCCACCGTAACGACAAAACAGGCCCGACTACAACTCCTCACAAACCATTCGAACAAAGTACACATTTTTCATTTTATGTTGACAAATTACTTTCCCACACAGGTGAACCAGCAAGATCGTATGTATGTTGGGCAAAAAGTAATCCAGCGGTGTCCTGTTTCATTAAATCATAAATCTTTCTCTTTTTTTTTTCATCTTCATTATTTTGGTGTAGATGGCCGCCCTGAGTTCCTTGTTAGAATCACAAGCATGATAGGGTATATCATACGTAAGTTGGGTGTACGATTGGCCTCTCTCACGCCATGCCATCATCACTGGATCTACCATTAATATTACTTGGCTGTATATTCCTTTGTTAGTCTGAGTGTTGGGTCATAACACCCATTTGCCACTAGCCTAGCAGACACTAGATTTGTATTTTAAGTGGTGATATACACACGCCCACTTCAGTGTAATGAAGCTCACAGAATTTCACTGTCTCCCAACATCTTGACATGAGCAAGTTAAGCGAACAAGCCCATAATTAGATCTACAGGAAGTCTATACGATAAAAAAATATTTCATTCAAATTTTTATCTATTTTTCTCATCCTAAAATTACCACAATGGATATGTGATTAAGATAATGATAAAATGATGGTTGTACAAAATCCAATATTCTATTAAAAATTTCAAAAATATCACATTTCTGTATTCAAAAAAATACTGTCCAATACTTTACAGACAGTTTTATTTCTCCTGTAATAGAAGTAAAAAAAAATTCAAATGAAATAATTATTTTGTTTCAGTTTCATAATTACGTGTCGTGAACTTTCAAAATTTAAGAATGACATACTCACAATACCTTGATAGGCAACTGATACGTCTTCTTTTATTGAACCCAAAACATTTGTGATGCACTTTCTGATCTGACTCAGGTAAATTTGATTATTTTAGAAGTAAACATCACTAACTAAAATCGATGTATTTCGACACATTCTCTAATAAAAAGATTTTCAGAAAGTTAGATGATACTAGCTTAACTGTAGAGTGACAAATATTTAAGCAAAATATGCTTAATAAAATAATGTAAAAACCAATGAATTTGAGTCAAATTAAGATCATGTTCTTAAATTTCAAAACACTGAAAAATGTCAATTAATTATATACAGTATTTGTAAATACATACAGATGTAGTTAAAACACATACAGATGTAATTAAAATACATACAGATGTAAGTAAAATACATACAGATGTAAGTAAAATACATACAGATGTAATTATATTGACATCATGTATGTATCCTGTTTATTGTAAACATACTGTATTCTTCCTCAAGAGAAATTCTATAATTGTATATGTTTACTCTGGAGGACCATCCAAGTTCTTTTCGATATATCACTGTGGACAAGCTGTCGAACCAGAACTTTTTTGACACATTTTTTTTTTGTCAAGAAAAAAATTTGTCAAGAATGACCTGGATTAAGATTAGCAAGTCATGGATAAGATCTAAGTCTGAAATCTGTAAATGTCAAATCGAGTCATTTAAATCGCCATTATTAACACTGGATAGTTCTATTATACGACATGGGCTGTGCCTATAGGCATTGTGAGCTTCGTCAAAAATCTTTAAACAACAGGTAAATCATCATGTGAGGAAAGCAAAATTTCTTCTAAATATTATTCATTACTTTGTTATTTTTATTTCACTTTTAAGGTTTCTGCACTGATATTCTCTTTTTAAATATTTTATCTATCAAATCATTTTAATTCTTTTTCATCTGAAAGATGGATAGGACAAATTTTCCTGAGGTTGTTTTAAGTCAATGATGTTTATTTTCTCTGACTCAGGGACTGAACTTTTCTAGAGATATAAGTCAGGTATATGGTTTTAATTACTGTCTGTGTACAGAATTCTCCAGACAGTTTTTTCACATACAATTAGGAAATAACAATGGCTGTCGATGTGCCATTGTTGTCTAACAGTTGGATGAATAACATGACAGATGCATATTGTCTGCCTGTACCGGGCTTACCTGTAAAGGTTTGTCGTTACATCTACTAGTCCACAGTTTCCTATTAACACCTGGACCTTTGAAGCTATGAGGGGAAAAAAATTGACTGCAAGATTTTCACAGTGTTTTCTGAATTAATGCCACTTTGAAGTTACGTAAATACAGAAACCTCAGTGTACTTATTTCTCATTAATCTATGATTACAACGTTTTTTGAAATATTGAATATGATTTGTGAAAAAATCTCGAAGGGAGTATGTGTTTGATCATTAGGTGTAATTCTGAAATTTTATATGTAGATTGAGATTTTTTGCTGCAAAAGATCTTAACAATATGTCTCATAAAAACAATCAATCAATATTTTTATCAGTTAGAAAAAAGAATAAATATTTTCATCAGAAAAAAAAGAATAAATAAACTAATATGAATTTGTATTTTTACATCCTACTGAAATTTAATCAGTAATTAAGATAAAAATTGTTCCTAATGGTCAGATATCAAGGCAACAAATGTATGACATTGATTGTCTCCCATTGATTGTCTCCCTTTGATTGTCTCCCTTCTTTCAAAGCTGCTATCTTGTCTCTGCATAGTCTCATAAATCTAGTACAAATTTTTTTAGGATGACGAATGCCAATATTCCCATAATAATATAGAAAGTTATGGTAATATAATCAAAACTATTTCTGTTTGTTTACAGAGGGAAGATGATGTTTAGTTTTTCTGATCGAGAACTGGCCACAAAGTCTGGCTACGACTTGATCCACCCTGATGATCTTTCCTATTTTGCTGCAGCTCATCAAGAGTGTAAGTACTGACAGTACTTATTGTGTGCTTTTGTTTTCATTGTTAGAAATTTTTCAACTCCTTTTTTTCAGTTTTTAGCTTTGTCTCAAAGAATTATTGAGCCAAGTGTCATCATGATTGCATCTTTTTTTTTTACAACACATTATAGCAAAGAATGTAAATTGTCTAAATTATACAAAAGAAAGCCATGTAAAATAAGAATTATTTGAAGAATATCAAATGGTTCTTTACAAAATTAAAAACATAGTAACTTTGTTTATTTCCTCAGTAATAAAGACTGGGAGTTCTGGTCTCATTGCCTATCGCTGGCTCACAAAAGACTTCCGCTGGTTGTGGCTTCAGTCAAGCTGCAAGGTCATCTACAAAAACAGCAAGCCAGACTTCATCATCTGTACTCACCGTCAACTCACGTGAGTATAATGCCATTCGTACTGCTCCCAGATCAGAGTTATCTCCCCTTCTAATGTAAACAGTGTGGTATCCTTGATCTATCCCTTTCAGGGGATATAAGGACAGTGTATTGTCCAAGGTCCATCCCTTTAAAGAGTATATTGTAGTGTCCTTGGTCGCTTTCACAGAGATGTGTACTGTTCTTGGTCTGTCTCTTTCACTGGGCAGTGAGTGTGTTGTCCTTGGTCAGCCCCTTTCACAGGGCAGTGTAAGAATGTCCTTTATCTGTCTCTTCCACAAGGCAATGTATTTTCCTTTGTCCCTCTCTTTCATAGGGAGTAATTTTTTTCCTTTGTTCCTCCTTTTCATAGGGCAGTGGTTCTCTCCTTGGTCTGTCTCTTTAACAAGGCAGTGTATCATCATGAATCCAATTCATAGTCTGATTCTAACGAAGAAAAATTTTTTTTAAATCAAAACAATTTTAAAAAAAATTTAAAACAAAAAGGAAAACTTGCAATTTTGAAGACAGATTTAGAAAATGAATTCTTCTTAAAACTCTTATATACAAATAATTTTGTTGATAAGAATGGAAACAGGACTTTTTATTTCTATGATCTTGAGATCGTGTCTCCATGCATAGATAATGTTGATTGATAAATTGGGCAATATTCATTTAATCTGATGTATTCTGTCATGCTTGTGCTCCTCTCCGTTACATAAGGGGAGTAAAATGGCTGTTCCCAGAAAAGCACAAGAAATGGCTCAACCCATGCAGAATTAATTGTGTAATAGTTCACTATTGGTAACTAGAAATGCTTTCTCCCTGGAGAACAAGGTCCATAGAAAAGGCCGCTCTTTCAATATTAAATCTTAAATTCCTTGTCAGCTTGATGTTATTACCATTTAAGAAAATGTTTTATGAAAGTTTGTCATATGTTGAGTAAGATTTTTGCTATAAATTTACTTTCATATCTTTATATATATAATTGGATGCAAAGTGATAAGAAAAAATAAAGAATGTAGATGCAAATATTTGATTTAGAATCAGTGACCGCTTTAAGTTAGCAGATGTCAAGGTACGGTAATGAGAGCTAACAATGCTGATTGTTCAATCTGTCCCGCCTAGCAACAGGTCGAGCAGTGTAATCCTGTTATATGCTTCATTAGGCCGAATAACACAAGATGGCACTAACACATAGTAAACACTTAATATCAACCATCTTTTGTCCATGTTGTCCTTTGATTTACTTTTATTGTCCTTCGTTTCTTGGACATAGAAAGAAAGTAAAGTCTGCACAAATGACCCTCTTTGGAGAGAAGTTCTTTAAGAGCTATCTTCAATGACGATAACTGACTCTCGTTTATGACAATGTGATGCGTCTATTAAAATTGTTCGTCCATGTTTTGACATACCGTTTTGTGTTGAAACGGAGCAAACTTATCTTTAGCCTAATGGACAGATTCTGTACGTCAGTTTAATGAAGAGGAAGTGTCAAATGTTCTTGGATCGGTTACTTCCTGTATCAGGCATGCGAGACTGATTGTCTCCCTTGGAATATTGTCAACAGGCAATTACTCTTGAAAGCATAAAATTGATAACTTTTGTATAAAAAAAACTTAAACCTTTAAAGAAAAAAGATGTTCAAAATAATGATTTGACTTAATGCTCATTTTTGTTACAAATGAACATGATGATTAATTTGCCCATCCACAATAATTACAACACATTTGTATAAAGAGTATACAGAAATGGCAGTTATCAAAATCAAATCATAGCATGATGCTTTCAGCACAAAAAAAAACACTAAAATATGACAATCACTTAAATTAGTTGGTTCACAGTAGGCACCCAGAAAAATACATTTCGTCATAAATATCAAATCGAAAAAATAAAATTGACTATACTCATCAGATTTGCAGGAAGATTTGCAGTGAAACATTTCTGTTTTCAAATATAGTGACACATTGTTGTATAAGGACTGACAAAATACATCTACACCTATGTTAGTAATTTCATATTGTTAATTCTCCAACAAAAAGTTTTTTATCCTCGTTGATAAAAAACGGTTTTATTTGATGTTGATTAGTAATATTGGAAAATTTTCAATACATTTATCATATGAGGAAGTAAAAGGAAATGTTGATGTAGATAACACATCCAATACACTCAAGTGTAACCTCAATCAAGTGATGAGAATACTGCAGGTGTCTTTTCTTAATCAAAGGTAATCAAAAAATACGAAGAATTCATCAATTATTCATCATTAATATCGGTTTCCTGCCACTTGAAATTCATAATATAATCAAAGTCGTTAGACTCTGATAAAATCGGTTTAATTAAAATGGAAGATGCTTCGATATGAAATGATATGTAATGAATGTGTGAGCGGAGTTATCATCTCGATGGTCCCAGAGAGAATAAACAGGTACATATGACTAATAAAAATGGCTGCTCTATTGATCGTCACCAATGGCCTGCAGGTCTCTGCCATCTACAAGCAGTCAACTACCTGCAGTATATATTTTTCTAGTCTTTTTTATTTAAGGGTAGGTGAGAAGTATTCTTTTCCTTTCCTTTTGAATTCATTTAACATTTTTATATTGTAAAGAATTATGAGAATACGTGAAAAGATTTACAAATTCGGAACTGAAATCTTCATTTATTTTACAAAAAAACAAAATATTGCAATATGAAGTGTTGTCAATAAATTACTCTTTTACTCTTGTCGACTCAAAATGAATGATTTAAACAGTATTTCTGTGTGAGGAACTAAGCTGATCTGACTGGAAGAGGGGAAGGAGTGTGTGTGGGAGTGGGGGGGGGGCTCAACTGTGTGAGAAAACAACATTGGCCTGAATGATCGTAGTGGGGAGGGTCTACTTTGTGAGGATACCTATTGCTGGCCTGAAAGTGGAGGGGGGGGGGCTCAACTGTGTGAGGAAACCACACTGGCCTGAATGATGGCGGGGAGGAGCACCGGTAGAGGGTATCTTTCTGTGCGAGGAATCTGAATGGAACGGGATGAGGGATACCAAACTCGACTGAATTAAATGGGGAGAGGAGTAGGGATGTCTTTCTGTGTGAGAATACCTGCTGTGAATGAAAAGGGTGAAGTTTCTCAACTGTGTGTAAACTTAAGATTATTTACCTAGATCAAGTTAGTGTCATGCACCCTTTGTTTTGACACATATTTCTAAGTGTCATTTTGAAGTTATTCCTTGAATGCTTCATTCCAATACATATTGTAATAATTTGGTTGGCTCCTAATCTGGTTCATCAGTTTTGTTCTAAATATGCAGTTAACAACTGTGTAATATCATACTGTGCCTATATCTATAAAAGCTACATATGTTCCAATGTCAGTGCGGCTTTTCAAATAATTAATTTTCATTATGTTCTTTTACAGAGATGACGAAGGACAGGATCTGTTCCACAAACGAGGCAATGAATTCAAGCTACCTTACCCACTCCTGGATTTGGACATATGCTCAGGATTTGATTTTCCTAGTGATGACTTGATAAAGATAAAAAATGGGAAGAAAAGTAAACAAAAGAACCAGGTGCGTGAATATGTTCAGACGCCCGGCAGGAAACGAAAAATGTGTCGAGAAAATGGACTCACAAGTTATCCACAGTATAATGGCTATGAAGGAGGTGAATACAAGCCAGAGTTACTTTACTCCTATCCTCCGAATAACTTCGGCCTTGAGTCAGACCTGTATAGGTCACATGGGTACTCCGGGTTCCCCGGGGCCGTTTATCCGAGCACGGACAGTTACCGCCTTGACGCGGATAAACATGGCTATACAAATGGTTTCTATCTGGAACCACATCATCGGCAGTATCAGCACACTCTAAGTTACCACGGCAACAGTTATCCCGATTTAATGGGCACCTCAACAAAATATAGTTATGATATGTCGAAATATGGATTCGAAAGTTATGCCAAAAAAGTGCATTATGGTGAGGAATTATCCCGTCTAGACAACGATTTTAGGAAATATACATATGACTATGGAAATGAACGACTCCCTAATCTGTTGAATGGCTCTTTAGAACCTGTGGATTTGCGAGCCTCCTCTATGTACAACGGTACCTCACTTGTGAATGGGGAAAGTATGGTTGGACATTCACCTTGCTTGACCTCTTCGCTGTTCAAACCTGACCTCCATGGTCAGAACATGTTATCCAAGGAAACAAAGGTGATATGTTCTCCATCGGATGTCCTCCAGGGTAGTCAGGGACTTAACCCATCAATGCCCTTGCATCACAGTTCTGTAATAAAAAACGCAGCTAGTCCACGAACTCTTCATCCTTCCCGTTGTAGTAGTTCTGAGCAAATGGGAAGCCCACCTGTGAACAATTACAGTAATATGCCTGTGACCAGGGTGTCTGGCACATGGGCACAGTGTTCTAAATCAAGTCCCAACTCCACCCCACGATCGGACAATAGTGGTAGTCCCAAACAGAATGGTATGGGTGGAGGAGGGGCTTCTAGCAGTCCAATATCAGGAGCAACCCCCGCGTCTGTGATACAGACTCACATAGCCAACAAGACTCCAAACAGGTGAGTTCTCTTGGAAAACTTTTGTTTCAGTTGTCGTTCACTTAAGGGCATGTTTTTCAAGGAAATTGACACTTTATGGGATTTACGTATAAATCCTGATATCTGCCATATTTCATGCTGCATCAACATAATCACTGTTGTTATCGTCACATAAGGAATTCTACTAAAACACCATTCAACAAGGGTCAAAGGTTGATATGTAGGTCACTGTTACTATTTATGGGAAATCAGTGAAATATGTGGCACCTTTATAATGACTAATTTTGAAGGAATTAGGTCAACTTTTGATTAGGTCATCTTTGTGAATAGCTGGGTTAAGTTTGTGTTTCAGGGTTCAAAGGTCAAGGTAACCATTGGGTAAAATCACCAATTATTCATAGGATCATTGTCATTCATGTCTTTTTTTTTGGCAACAGCAAAAGAATTTCTAGCAAGTGCTTCAGCCTCGAACCTGCTTTTGTATATTTTAGAATAATTTATTTAGAGATGGCAGCAACCAACAAGTTTCTTTTTAATTATCGGAATCTTTCTATAACTGATTTCCAGTGTAAACTTCAGATTCCTTTCTTCAAGAAAATATGGTTCATTTCCAAAATATCATATAGCACCATTATTTCAGAAGCTATTAATAGATTCACCTTCAACATTAATTCATTTGTATGGGTTTTTAAAACTATTCTCATAAACTATGACTAGACAAACAACAAAACCTTAATAGAAAGCCTTTTGTTCCATATTTTACGCCTCACTAATCACCAACAGATCTAATTACAAATCATACTGTTTTTCTTTCCAATTTACATGTCTGCCTCATGGCATTGTTAAGTCTCTTTATAATACAACAGCCTTGCTGAACAAAAAGTAATTGTTTTCATTATCAGATTTTATTGTATAATGGTGGCAGTATAGCAAGGTTTTACTGTATAATGGTGACAGTATAGCAAGGTTTTACTGTATAATGGTGGCAGTATAGCAAGGTTTTACTGTATAATGGTGGCAGTATAGCAAGGTTTTACTGTATAATGGTGACAGTATAGCAAGGTTTTACTGTATAATGGTGGCAGTATAGCAAGGTTTTACTGTATAATGGTGACAGTGTAGCAAGGTTTTACTGTATAATGGTGACAGTATAGCAAGGTTTTACTGTATAATGGTGACAGTATAGCAAGGTTTTACTGTATAATGGTGACAGTATAACAAGGTTTTACTGTATAATGGTGACAGTATAACAATGTTTTACTGTAAAATGTTGACAGTATAACAAAGTTTTACTGTATAATGGTGACAGTATAACAAGGTTTTACTGTATAATGGTGACAGTATAACAAGGTTTTACTGTACCATGGTGACAGTATAACAAGAATTTTTTGCTGTATAATGGTGACAGTATAACAAGGTTTTACTGTATAATGGTGACAGTATAACAAGGTTTTACTGTACAATGGTGACAGTATAACAAGGTTTTATTGTACGATGGTGACAATATAACAAGGTTTTATTGTACAATGGTGACAGTATAACCAACTTTTACTGTACGATGGGGACAATATAACAAGGTTTTATTGTATAACGGTGACAGTATTACAAGGTTTTACTAAATAATGGTAACAGTATAACAAGGTTTTACTGACAAAAGTTGGCGATATGATGAAATGTTACATGACAAATGGTGGCAGAATAACATGATTCAAACAATGATTTACCATTTGACATCTGTACAAAAGTTCAAGTATATTTTCCTGTTTCAGAGCCTGTGATAAACAGCCCCTAGTGGGAGGTATTCCAGTCCCTGTTGTGAAATCAGCATGGCTACATCAGTTTCCAGCATCACACAATTCGTATGGAGACAGCAAGGACTGGGCCATGAGCCACAATGATATGTACTCTTGCCACCAAAAATCCCAGCGTGGCATCATCACAGAGAACATGTCACACGTGCCCAAAGTGACGATTCAGTGACGACAATGGTTGCTTGCGTCACTACCTGTTATTGTGATATTTTTGTCTGTGACTCTGTACTTCAGACACTACATAAGCAAAATCACTCGAATGTCAACTCATCAATCAAACCTGGGAAAAAATGGATAGCCACACTTCATGGCAGGAATACCTTGTGTAAAAAATCTAGAATTTTAGATAAATTTCATTTCATGATTGTCTTCAAGACTCTTTTTCTTTTCTCCTTCTCTTAAATGACTGCTAGACAGATGAAAGTTTATATAACATGTACATATTTCAAAAACAGAAAAAAATTGCAGACATAGTTTTTCACTGATCTTTTTTGATAAATTTTTAAAATTGTGTAACTGTTATAGAAAAGGTGGTATGCTTTGCGAAAGCTAAAGCTAGTTTTGTGTATAGCATTTTCCTGTTGCCAGAAAGATTTTTTTTTTCATTTGTTTATCTTTGTATACAATGACACTTTTGTGGACATGCATTGTGTACATGTGGTATGACTGCAGAGCAAGAGACGAATGTCGTATATATCGAAATATAACATCGGTTTGGCACATTGCCAATATTTGATGAATCATCCAAATTAAATTACTTCATAGCAATTTTTTTCTCTGTAATTTATTTCAGGAAAGTTCTGCTATAGAAAAGTGAAAAAAATATTTAAAAAGGAAAAATAAATCAAAGTCAGTGAAAAAAAGGATGTCTTTGTGTTTAATAGTTTAATCTTGATTCTTCAAAATAGGTCAATTTAAAGGAAAAATGATTTTTATTTTGAACTAAATATGTAAATTGAATACAGCAAAAATCACAACAAAATTTGCTGAGATATTACCATGGTTACAGAATTACCAGTAAATGAATAGTTTATTATTTAAAACTATTATCTTTTTGATATGTTTCCTAACCATTTCTGATCATCAAAAAATTAACTTTTATTATCTTTAAAATTATGTAATATCAAATAACTAATACTTCTATTTTTCATCGGCAGTAAATTTGATAAATAACTTCATATTCATTTGAATTATTTTTTTTCATAAAAAAAGAAAAATTGTCATACAACTGAGATCTTAAACAAAATTTGATGAATTTTCAAAAGTAATTTAAAATTCTGTATCCTTAATTGATTGTAACAACTGCATGGAATTTGAAATTCCTGTTTTCTAAAATAGTAACATGTTATGAGTATAGTTCAAACTACTGTGGAAGCTTCACAGAAGTATTTATTAAAACTACTTTTTTTTCATTTTTGATTCTGATAGAAGAACTGATAATCTGGTTTGTTGATAAAGTTTGTGAACCATTGAACTTTAATTTATTAATTGTTGCAAGTTCATTGCTGAGTACTTGTACTTTCTGTTAAATACCGAAGTCTGTTGAATGTGTAACTGTTTCAGTGGACACCTCTCCGTTTTCATTGTTTAGTCTGTTCAGTGTAGACTTGTGGTTTAATCGGTGTTGTTTATTAACGCTAATACAAGACTGTAATCGTGGCGTGTTGTTGTATTTACGTAAATGGTGAGATTTATCCGAGCTCAGGGAACGCTGCTGTTTGTGTCACTAGACATCTTAGTAATGCATATTTTACAACATAACCTTGTCAAATCTGAAAATTTCCCATCTTATAAAAACTAGGAAACTTTTTATATTATCTGGATTTGATGATTAAATGCAGAATTTTTTTTTTTTTACTTTTTTTTTTACTTTTATTCTTTTTTCTTTTAATTTGTTGTTAAATTTTGAAAATTTCTACATATTTTTCAAAAGACTCATAGGTTCTAGATTAGTAGGGTTTGCTGTATTCAGACCATCCATCTTTTATTTTCAGCTCCCAGACCAGTTTTTAGTATATTTTACCATATTTGTCTGTTAATATGCCCAAGCCTGATAATAAGATGTCAGTTGCATACCAGTAAAAATATTATTTCATTTTATAAAGATAATCAATAATCTCGCCTCCTTCTGTGAGTAAAATGATATAATATGTTGATGGCATGGGTTTATTACAGGATAAATGTGGACTAAAGAATCAATGTCATTGAAGAATAGCTCATCAATATTTTATGTAATCTCCTTTAAATATTCTACGTTAAACACCTACCAAAAAATTATTATTTTTTCCTCGTCGGACATAGACATGTTCTTGATATCCTTGATTTCTTTTGCCAAATACTGTACAAATACTTCAAACATACAGGTAATTTGTTAAGATTTTGAAATTTTTATTGTGCACTGTTGAGAAGCATTATACTCTAGTGGTAGAAGAAATCTAGGAGTTTCATATTGATAAATATTGAGAAAATTAACAAATTTTGGAATATTCAATTTCAAACATAATTTGTGATGTTTTTGTTATCAATCATGATTATACAATGTAATCTGTGGATATAGAGAAATTTCACCTGCTTTCACTTTTTCAAATGAGCAACACTTTAATGATATTAATTATGAAGTGCGAAAATAGGGAAAGTTTGAAGCAAGGTTGTACCATAGAATTTGATAAAATATAGTTAGATGAAAAAATGTAATTAATATTTTGCAAGTATTTTCTCATTCTGGTTAAAAAATAAGTAAATGATGAAATTTTTACCTGTGTTCGTGTACATATACACTACAGGGAGTTATGGTGATTAAGCTAGAATTAATTTTTCAAATTTTAATTGGTAAGAATTTAGGAAAGAAATATCAAAATAGATAGATATTATAATATAATGAAGAAAAACTAACTCAATCAGCATCATTTAAAGCCTAAATGTATGTTATTTGTTATAAATGCCCTTTTTTGAAACCCCTCCCCCCTCTCCACCCACCCCTCTTAAGTTTTTACAGTTTTTTTTACCTATTCCATTCAGTCATTTGTTATATGTATTTTCTACTTTCTTTGCAATTTTTCAAATTGGTGCTTTTTTATTCCTTTTTTCCTGCTATTACTTTGTGGGTTTTCATTTAAGGGATGTTACCATTCACTTGGTCAAATTTGGATTTCATTTAACTTATATTTCTTGACCTGATAATATTGTCTGTCCCACACATGAAAAATGAGGTATGCTCCAAGGGTTTGTACATGTATGTTGTTAAGTTGTTGTAAATATCTTTTATGCATTCAACAATTATACTTACTACCTTCCAGTTAAACATTTTATCCAATAGTTTCTTTTCCTTTTTTTTTTTTTTTTAAATTTGGGTGAATTTTTCAAACATCATTACCATTTTGAGCCAATATCTTAGCCAATACTTCCAGGTTCAAGGTCATTTGATATGAGCAGTACAGTTAGATTTTGTGGTTTGGACATTGTCAACCATAAGAAATCGACATAAATATTTTTTTTCATATTTAATGAAATTGAAAATTAAAACACTTGCCAATTATATTTTGCAGACAAAGTTTTTGTTTTGTAGTATGAGTCAGGTTTTCAGTTCAAGGTCTGCCATCTCTGAATTTGATGTTTGAACAGTTGCCAGTGTGTTTTTGAAAGAACAATATTTCCTACAGATGGAAATAATTTATATATACGACATAATAGTATAATTACACTGATTTTAAAAAAAAAAAACTTGTAAATAATAACAGAATTGTTATGTCTGCTTTTGGCAGATGTCCTATATCTCTCCAGCCAAGCAGAAATGAATTCCCTTAATATAGCATATTACTAGAAAAGGTGAAGTTGTTTCTTTGCATGTCCTTGGTCAACAAAGATAAACAGAGGCTCTGTAGACGATTATCACAAATGCCCAACGATTATGAAAATAAGTAGGAATGTATTTCTTCCACCTGAGCAAACCTTTTGTTAAACCTTAATTTTTGATGGCACCTGCATTCCAACTACAGATTATTAAATTTATTAAGATTTTGCTTTAAATAATTATACAGTTCGGTTATAGAATGATGAATTCTGCCGATTTAGAGAGAAAAAAAAACGTATAAATAAAGAAAAGAGACCCCTGCAGTTTGCATACATCTGTTGGAGTCCTTGCCCTCAACAAATTTACAGCTATTGGTTTACAACAATTTGGTTTTCATAAAAAAAATATAAAAAGAATGAAAAAATGGAAAAGGAAGTTAATATGCTGTTTAATTGATCAATAAATTATGTTATTCAAGTGTTTTTTTTTTCAAAAAACAAGTTGTATACGTTCTGATGAAATAATTTTATATAATAAAAGAAATTTGTTATTAGTAATATTGCAAAGGGACGAAACAAATTTCGAAATTAAAATCAGCTGATCTGTCTGTAGAAGTGTTATTGTGTATACCAGTGGAGAACTCAAATAATTACTTATGCATAGCCAGTGGAAGAACAAGGATGGCAGATTTATGGCACATTGCCAAAATCCTTTGATTAAAAGTTAATAGAATGTCTGCCGATGTTTTCTTTTCTTGTTTTTATGTTTTTTTCTCAATGTTCTGTGCATTTCAATCTAAATTCACATCTTGTATGTAAATATATATATATATATATGGCAAAGTATAGTATAGACACATAAATATAAGTATATATATATATTACATACTTGTATAGAAAACATGTACATGTATGCTTTTATACACCCAACTATCAGAAAACTTGTACGGAAGATGTGCTAGTTTTGATCAGAGGAATGCATAAGCTACAAAAAATTTTGTTGCTTCTTATTTCTATATAAATTAATTGTTGACCTACTTATGAATATGTTCATGTTGTTTCTTTGATATAAAATTATAAATATTACTTTTATTATTGCGATGTAATGCTCACGAAAGAGAGAAAACATGTAATTTGACATAATAAACGCCTACAATTATGTCTCATTTCGTGAATTTTTTATTTCTTACTTTTGACAATATTATGATCAGCTGACCTTGATTTGATGCAAATTTATGGAAGAGGCTGGAAAAGAAGATGGAGATTTTGGATTAAGGAATGAAAATTATTACAAACTGCAAGTCCTAGTTATCTTATCACCACTTGTATTATACTTTCCTTTAATGTAGAATGCTCTCTCCAATCCTGAAGTAGTGAATT